TCACTCTTATTCATGAAATAGTAATTCTTTTCTTAAATTTATTTTCAATTTTAAATCTATTGAGTCACATTTTTATATTGTAAAGCGTCTTTGAACTTAAGAATATCAACGCTATATAAATTATTCCTTATTATCATCATTATTATTATTATGGGTAGATACATTTTACATGTTTCAACCGCTTGATAACTATTGATGTACTTGCACATCTTTTACCAGTTACAGTCTCACCTCTTCTGAGCATCCTCAAGCTGCAGTTTGTATCAAAAAAGCTTTACTTGTTTGTAATGAATTGTTTCCCATGATCCTCAGTGATCTCAGCTTTCTAGGTTTTCGGTGACTAACTTTATCGAAATAAGTATATGTAGTAGTATGATGCCATTGAGCTCGACAAATGCAGCCCGATTTTGACCGAATGATAAAAAATCACTGGGAAATGGAGATACTCTTACTCGTCTTTCCACGATATGAAACTCAACAAAGATCAAAGCAATGCAAGTCTATACACAGGGAGCCCAATTTAGATAAAAGTGCAAGAAGCAAAGAATATTTGGAAAATATTATTCAAATTGGGTACGAGGCTAAGGAAGTGTGCTGAATAATACATGCTAACAGGAGAACCATGAAAAACATATTTATTTTCGTCTAGTATTTTTATCTAAATTGGGTTTCCTGTGGTTCGTACCAAGAGCTTTTCAAAGTCAAACTTTTTTTACTCTAGTTACTACCTTTTTGAAAAACTGTTTGATATCTCTTGATTCGTWGYGGCCAACACTGTGAACAGAATCTGTAAAAGCTACAGCCTTGATGCGTTSCTTAGCTTCTTTGATGTTTCTTAACTAAAACAACACCACAGTAAAGGAACWCTTTGAGTGAGAAAACGTAYGAGACTCAMTYATAGCAGTTAAACGAAAAGACATACCGTAACACTGACAAGMAAGAAATGAAATGAAAAGAGATGGCACAGAATGTGATTAAATATATATGAGACAGGATGAAATAGATATATAGATAAAATGGGATAAAATGAGATGGGCTTTGAAAGTCAAGGAAAAAAGTTATATTTTACAACCCTACCTATTTAGAACACTCAATACAACACAACACCAAACCACACACAACACTCTATAGACAACACAAACCACTTAAAACACCACACACAACACTCTATACACAACACACACCACTTAACTTATCACACACAACACATGACTCCCAACACCCAATGCCCCTAGCAAGCAACACATCAGAACCAACATCCAGCTCCCAACACGCAACACCCAGCTCCCAACACCCAACACACCACACCAAACACCCAACACACTTCGCCCAACACACCGCAACCAACACCCAACACACCACACCCAACATCCAACACACCACACCCAACATCCAACACACCGCACCCAACACCCAACACCCACACCCCACACCCAAGACCCAAGACCCAACACACCGCAGCCAACACCCAACACGCCCAACACACAACAACCTAATACCCAACATCCAACACCCAACACACAACACACAATACACATGTTGATTTCTATGGAGGGAAATCAGCAAACTGAGATGTGAATCACACAGTAGTGAGAGACATGCAGGCAGCACCGTTGCAGTGCATGCCACCCATTGTACACAAAGAGATGAGAATGAGAATGAGAGTAGGAATGATTTGAAAGGAAACAATAAGACAGAGGAAGAGATAAGAGACAGTGCACTTGAAGCACATGTCACCCAATTCATGCTAGTGCCCAAAGAGATGAGAACGAGACTGAAATGGAATTAACATGATAGAAGATGAGATAAGAATATGGCCATGAGTTTAAATATCATAAATAACAGTTACAAAGTATATTACTATTAATATTGGTTGCATCAAGAGGTATAAGGCAGCAAAATACTTACACCATGAAGAACTACTTGTCCACCATAACTATGTGCAACAATCACGATGTGCTCGGCCTTGGCCTTCTTGATGAAGTTGTTCCAGACATAAACAAAGTGATCCTGGGGATTCTCACTGCCCTGTGGAAGACATGTTAGGCCATGTCAGTGTTATTGGGAAAACTAAGTAAGCATTAATGAAGTTGACCAGAAGTCAGACTGTTAGATGTTTAATGTACTGCACATGTACTGCGGAACATAGAATCAAAGTGATGCCATCAAATTCTAAAATTTGCAATAGACTTAATCCACTGTTTTCCCATTTTAGGCCAATGTGTCATTTCCTAGAGTATTATTTCTTTGTTTAACAGTTGCAGATAAGAAGACAAATGAATATGGATACAATTCAAACAAAGAATGTTTTTCTCAAGAGAGTAACACTTGGTCTGAAATGGGCCACACTGTACGTCCACGTAGAATAGGTTTAATATTGATTCCAGTTCTGAAATGTTCATATTTAAAAAGAACACAACATTGCTTACATTTCTGCCAACTTTAAGGCTTTTGCGATTAGTAGAAATGGGCATTTCAGGTATTTAAGGTCCAAACATCCCCATAATTTTTTTGTCGTTTGCACAGGACAATCATGTTACATTCATCAACAAATAAGAAGAAATGTATTGGAGATATTTTAAAATTTCAAAAACTGTCTTTAATTTAGCTGTTTTTTTGGTCTTTTGCTCTAAAAAGAGCAATAGAGGCTTTGCACCATCAAGTGGCAGCCATGACAGGAGGCACATAGCACAACAATAGAGTCTTTTCCCCCTCGGAAACTAAATTCTTTTTCATGTAAATCAGACCAGATTCAATTGTTCCTGCCTCTGTGATGGCTGCCATCACATGATGGTGCAAAGCCTCTATAGAGTAAAAAAACATAACCTAGCAAAAGGAGGAGTACCTTAACGCATTTGTGCAGTTTCTCATCATAATTATGATTACCATTAGTAATAAGCACACCAAAGCCTTCCTGGGGGGAAAACACGATTATAATACTTTCTAGAATATTATTGAGTATGGAATATATATGATCGCCCTGCTACGTGCGAGGTTACAATGTAGAGTAGTTTTGAAGTGGGAAATGGTAAGACAGGTTCATAGCTGAGTTGAAGCTGTACAATGTTCTACTTTAAGCATAACAAAAAATATATATAAGGTCTTTTAAGGACGTACATGGGCATTGCTCGCATACATGCTTTTTACATGAGTTTGAAGCCTGGGTGTACATTGTGATTACGTCATGGAAATGATATTATACTGGCCAAATTGAAAAAAGGGTGCAAAATGTTGAAGAATTAAGTTTTTGTTCACTTCTTCAAACTTTCATAGCTCTGAAACGTAGCAATATTTGTCAGTACCCCCTCTTTAAGATACCAAACAACTTTAAGATACCAAACAAATGGTCGAATATTTCGTTTACACTGTTAAAAGAAAAGTTTTACCAAAATAATTTAGTATTTTCAATGTTTTTTTTAGAATTATTACGAGTCGCAATGTGTAGCGCAATCATTGTCATGCATTTTCAAAGCATTAAAAATAGGGAAATTTGATTCAAAAATACATTTTTATCTTAGCTGATGACTGTTAACTTTATTTTGATGTTTACTATTACAGGGGCGACGGAAGCTGAAAATCTTTGGGGGGGGGGGGGGGCACTGCAAAAAATCACAACAATAACTTAATAACAGTAACAAAAATCGAATCTATGAATTTATATTTCATGTCAACCAATATTTTGTGGGGGGCACCTGCCCCACCGTCATCTCCCCCCCTCTCCCCCGGTTCCGCCGCCCCTGTATTAAAATATTGAAGTGAGAGCAACGGAAAAGAAAGATTATCAAACAATTATCGACCAATCTCGTTGACAAGTATTGTTAAAATTCTGGAGCGTTTAATACATAAACACATCATGGACCACTTAACAAAACTAAAACTACTATGTGATAACCAACACGGGTTTAGACGATTCTGCTCATGCTTGACACAATTATTACAACTGGCCAAGGGCACTAGAACACCGAATGTGGTTGGATTTCTATAGGTTTTATCCCCCTCCGTGTTCCTTCGTTCGCTGTTGTAATGCAGACGTTTTCATTCCAAAGGTCAAACGGTTTGGATAGCCGATGAGCGTTACTGCATTACAACAGCGAACGAAGGAACACGGACGCAAGATAAGTAAACAAGTAAAACGTTAATTTAATTCAAATAATCGAAAGGGAAAAAAACCTATAGAAATCCAACCACATTCGGTGTCCTTGTGCCCTTGAACTGGCACATTAATGGCATTCGACACTTGACAATTTAGAGCATTAGACATTGCTTTTCTTGATTTTGCAAAAGCATTTCCACAAAGTTCCTCATCCACATCTCTTACAAAGATTGCAGTCTTACGGCATTAATGGTCAAGTGCATGACTGGTTAAGAAATTTTCTTGGTTATTGAAAGGAAAACTTTGAGTTGGCTAAATGTTACGTCAGGAGTTCACCAGAGGAGTATACTGGGTCCCCTATTGTTCTTAATATTCATCAATGACATTCTATCTAGTGTAAACTGCAACATAGACCTCTTCGTGGACGACAGTGTTCTTCACAAGCAAATTAAATCAACCAATGACTGTGAACTTTTTCATGGAGACTCTGTGAACAACAGGTGCGATGCTTCCATGATACAACTCGAGGAAAATGTCATATCTTACATGTCACATAGCAGAAACAGCCGATTAAACACGATTACCAAGAGAAAATGATTACTCTATAAATGACACGACCTTAGAAACTGTTGATCGTCATAAGCACCTTGGCGTCACTGTGTCAGACTATATCTTGGGATCTACATATATCTTCAATCTGTACATAAAGGCAAGACGTACCATGGGGTTAATAAGGCGATTGTTTGGATACAAGTCTCTAGCAGCGGTAGATACATCCTTGAAAGTCCTTGTCAGACCATCACTGGAGTACTGCTATGCTGTGTGGAACCCTTACTTGATTAAACACATAAATCTTATTGAGTCAATACAACGGAGAGCCACGAGGCTGATATGTGGCCCAGACCTTGAGTATGAAAGACTTAAAAAACTAAACTGGCCTACCCTAGAATTAAGGAGAAAATATCTCTGTCTTATTCAGATGTACAAAATATCATTTGGTCTCTGTGCCGGATATAGATAGCAATAAGTACTTTGACTTAATAGAGAAGTTCCGTGTAAGCGCACTAAGCTCACTATTTATGATAATGAGTCAACTAAATATTCAAATGAGTTTACAAACCACCCAATTTATCCAGCTCATACAAAATTTATGTATTTTATTGGAAGGAACGAAACAAAAAGTCTGACATAACGTGGGTGACTGCGAATAGAGTGTCAGCACAGTTAACAACGATGAACGCTAGATATACAGTTCTATACAGGGCTTACAATTCGACTGGAGATATCAATTCTAATTATACTTGTATTTTCTTTTCTTTGTGAGTCTTTGCATACATGTTTCAACATTTATTTTAGGGCTTTGGCAAAAGTAAACTTCTCTTGGTTATCGGCTTATCCAATTATCTAAAGAACATTAACATTAATATAACGTCAGGATTGCCTGACTTAGATATACGCAATCGGCTATTGTCATTCACTTGAACTCGAACTGTCTCGGCATATTTGTCCAGAAGCTTGTTCATCTTATCCAAAGTAGCCATTGCCTTATTACACATTGCCACATGTGCATCTTCAGCCTTTAGTTTTCCTTTCCCTTTAAATCGTTTTCGCTTTTCTTTTGGACTTTCGCTCTCAGCTTTCTTTACGACTTCCTGTACATCGCTTTCCTCATTTAAGCTTGATTCAACACTGATATCAGTAGACATATGACTCAACTTGGTCTTCCATCGATCTTCCGGGCTCACCTTTTTCGCATACCTCATTTTTGATGCCAGAATCTCCGACATAGGTCCTGACACAGGAATAGAAGATTCGCTAGCAGCTTTAAGTTGACTTCTTACGATACGGCGAACACGATTAATTGCTTGCTGACTCTCTTGTTCAAGATAAAACTTTACAACTGGAGAAGACAATGGAAGCGATTCAAGATTCCTCTTAACATGTTGAAGAACATTTTCCCAACTTTCTCCGCTTTTTTCTTCATAACACTGAAGAACCAATGCTTTTTCTGGTTCAGTTATTCGTACACGTCTTTGTGCATGTGATGGACCTGTAGTATAAAATACCGAGATTAAAATATTTGTTGTTACAAATGCAAACTTGGGTATTTATCAATTGTTCAGCTCTTGATTTTAAATACCTTTATCGTTCTTATCCATCCGAGGTTTGATTCCTTCTAGTTTTCAGCTATATCCTTAGGGTACAGCCAAGTGTAATTGCACCCACAGCAGGAAGAGCATTGCGGCAAATAATCAAGCAGTTTACCAAAGCTCGGCTGATGGTTGTTCTTTAAATTATTCAATTTTCACATGAGGCCATGAAACTATTCATCATGAAGTGTGAACAACGATTTGATTAACTCATATGTTGACGCCATTTCGCGTGTGGCTTCAACCAAAAATACGGAAAGAAATAAACCAAGAGGTACAAGAAAAAAGAGACGTTTACTTCGTATTTCTTTATTACTGACAAATACGCTACCACTCATGGTCCCTCATGTACGTTCGTCACTGCCTTTGCAAGACTTTTTACAACGTTTGGTCCCTCTGCTACTCTTCCTTATTTCCTTGGGTTGTCCGTTCACATATTCAACAGTTCCTTTGATAAATCGCCTTCCATTTCAACCTGATTTCCCCTTCCATGGGCGTGACGTGTTCGGCATGTACCATCGTCACAGATATTTGTTTTGGCTTAATACCGGCGAATTACCAGAGACCCTTGAACAGTTAGTGTACGATATTGCACGGGAAATGCGTCGTCATAATAGAGTTGGGAATATTCGACAAAGGCAAAGAAGAGGAAAATTAAATTTGAAAAATCAAGTGTTGTTAGTGATGATGTGGCTCCGTAAATACCCTTATCTGGATAGCCTGGCATTGTTATTCGACATAAGCATACAGACTGTGTCAGCAATTATATATCATGTGGTTCCTGTCCTCTGGAGATATTTCCAAAGCCAAATTAGATGGCCATCGGTTGCAGAATGGAATGCTATGCGAGGTAATTGGCCATCGTTTCCAGATGCTGTAGGGTGTATTGATGGAACGCCCCATAGGATATATAGGCCAGAGTAAGAACCGCAGCGTGCGTTTTAAAGCGGACATCGCCATTGCCATCTCATGAGTACTCAAACTATCACTGACAATGAAAATAACATCAGATTTTTGCAAGCTGGATTTGTTGGAAGCATGGTTGATTCAATGGCATACAGACTTATGACTCAAGTAGGACCTGGGCAAGTACTTGATTTACCTCCTGGGGTCATTCTTTTGGCAGATCAAGGATATCCCGATGCCCTGCCACTTGTGACTCCATTTAGGCAACAGCAAATCAGGGGAATGGGAGCAGGGATCATGCGACAGCGTGCCCGGAAATTCAAGAGACGCCTTAGTCACTATCGTATTACAGTCGAACATGCAATCAAACATGTAAAGACGTACAAAGCTATAGGATCTCTTTGGCGCCACCCACGCTGGTTCCAACCACTTGTTGTTGAGCTCTGCACATTCCTTGCACAGTGACACATAGAATTATTCCAGGCAATGTAAACATCGTAAGAGTAATCGTTGTTGACAGTCACCCATACACGTTAAGTAAGAATTGCGTTGTTTCGTTCCTTCCAATGAATTGCATTTAAAACCATCTAACTATATCAGATTTTGTATGAGCTGGATAAATTGGGTGGTTTGTAAACTCATTTGAATATTTAGTTGACTCATTATCATAAATAGTGAGCTTAGTGCGCTTACACGGAACTTCTCTAATAGGTGAAACACGTTTAAGATCTAGCCATAAATTTAAACTGAGACCTAAACACGCCCACACAAATTATTTTAAATTTTCATTTTTCAATATAGATACACTAATGATTGGAACTCACTACCTTCTCATATTTTTGCGACTAAATCTCTAAGCCATTTTAAATCAAGTTTATTGTCGCTTTTATTATCTACTCAACAGTAATCTGTTTTATTAACTAGTTGAATATACACTCAATTGAAGAATCGTTGTCGGGTTCAGAAACATAGAACATAAAAGCTGAGACCGAAATGGCACATGGCAAATGACATAATTGTATTATAATTTATTCATTTGCGCCATCCATGCAGTCGGTTTAGAATGCCAAACGCGTATTAAAAACAGTGCATGATGCCACGGGTCGCCGGTCACAGCATGCATCTAATTAACGTACTTCCCATGTGCCATTGCGGTCTCAGCTTCTATGTTCTATGTTTCTGAACCCGACAACGATTCTTCAATAGCCCACCTCCGAGATATGCTTCGCTTGTCACGCACAAAGGTTTCAGTATGAGACTAAGTGCTAAATTAAATTTATTTTTACCGCCTTTCACGAATGACTGAGCCTTTAGCACGTAACCTCATACTGAAGCCTTTGTGCGTGACAAGTGAAGCATATCTCGGAAGTGGGTAATTGAGTGTATACATATGTAGATATTTTATTCATATATAATTTTGTACATAGTCATTTTAATAACATATATTTTTAGAATTTTGTGTTTATGTATGTATACGTGTCCCTGTCTATTTATATAAGGAGAACAGTTTTTATATGGGAATTCAGTTTCCCCCTACTGTTGTCCTCCCTCAGTATATTATTGTTAGTATATGTACATTTTTCATTTCCGTTTGTTTGTTATATATATTTCATATATTTGTATGTTCATTAGTTTTGGGAAAGTCATTAAATAAATAAATAAGGATGAATAAAATGATTTCCAACTTTTGTGATTTGGCCGCCATCTTTGTGCCTCTCAAGGACACAAAGATGCATGGTGGACCCATACATTACTGGTATGATCAATCACTTGCTCTCTGTATCTATAACTTCTTTTAGCTAGAATTTTGGCCGAGGTATACAGTTTATGTTGCTCTTTCGGTCTGTGGAGGTTTTATCATATATGAGTCTTTGGAAAAGTTTCGATGGCGTAGGTGAAAGCTAAGAATAGATTTTCATAAAGCAGTTATTGGGCCATTCATTACTTTCCCAAATAATATTTTAAAAAATAATATGAATGAGAATAAGAACGATAAACAGTATGTAAGAGAATAAAGATTGAGTGAAGATCAGAATTTAAATGAAATAGAAAAACATATAAAACAACATACAGTAATCAAGCAAATATCTATGGGAAATAATGAAATTATATGACCATGAAAGTCTAACTGGTAGGAATGGTATGAATATTATGGTATTTTATTAGCATTCAATAAAAAAAACATCACATACCTTCATTGCTTCCTCAATATATGGAACCATTGTCCCACTTTCAAAACTGTCATTGATGATCAAGCTGTATTAATAGTAAAAATGAATAAAGTTAGCTGAGTGCAATAANTCATTGCTTCCTCAATATATGGAACCATTGTCCCACTTTCAAAACTGTCATTGATGATTAAGCTGTATTAATAGTAAAAATGAATAAAGTTAGCTGAGTCCAACAATATTGTGTATTGTAACAGTTAAATATCATCATCCTCGTCATTAACATTTGATTGTGTCATGTCATGTCACATTGCCACAAGTGAAAATATATATCGAGAAGATATCCAGTTTGATTGGCAAATGAGCAAAACTCCTTATTCACATAATAATTCTTAAATAATATATTTTTTGTATCTTTCAAAAGCCCATAATTTATTCTAACAAGCATATATCATTTAATATAAAAAAGAAATTTGCTATCAATACTATTTAACATCGATCTTATTCCCAAAAGAAATTTGCTATCAATACTATTTAACATCGATCTTATTCCCTTATCAACTGTTGACATTATGAAAGTGGTCAGTAAGATAGCACTTAATTTGATCTCATCCCTAACATGATATTTGACAAACCTTCTTGCCCATTGACCAGCTCGTTCCACACCACTGCCATGGATGAGAATCATCAATTTGCTACATTCAAGAGCATCTTTACTCATAAAGAAAAACCCTTTGGGTTCATTTGGACGAGCATCAACCTGCACAGTTTGAATGAATGAGAATAGTGAGAATTATGAGAATGAGATGCAAATCAAAATGGGAATACAGTGGATGAGAATAAAATGCTGGTTAATAACATTGCACAAGAATAGAGAGAAGGACAAAGAAATGTCAAATAACAGAGAATGGTAATAGAGAGAAAATGAGAATGAAATGCAAATAAGAATAAATGAAAATAAAGATGAGAAGCAAATAAGAGAAAATTGGACTAGTGAGAATGAGATGGAAAGAAGAATGAATGAGAATAGAGTTCATTCTGTTACTACTTTATGTACATACATACTAAATGATAAAAGAATTTGTATTCATCTTACTGGAATGGTAACTTTCTCAAGGTCAAGCTTGTTTTCAAGGTATTCATAGACATATTCTGTAATAGCCTGAAATAGTAATCAGTGAAGATATCAAGACATAACCACAATATGGACAAAAAAGACAGCAGCCCTTGAATGTATTGCTGCACTGATAATGGGGGGGGGGGGGGGGGGGGGGGTTATGGTTAATAACCCAGTTCAGAGTTTAAGAATCGATTCCAGTGCACATGCAATTTTATCCTGAGTTTCTCACTTTCTTTTGTTTGATTAAAAACAAAGGTAGGGTTAAACAAAAGCAGGTGAGAAATTCGGGATAAAATCACCTGAGCACTGAAAATGATTTTTAAACTCCGAACTAACTTATTGGGTTGGCCAGGATAAAAAATACATCTACATAACTATATATATTCTATAAACTAGCTTAAGTGCATGCCATATATCTGTGGAACAATTAGCTATGTAGCTATGTAACAATACTAGCTATGTAGCAGTAATGATAAAAAGGTAAATTATATACCGTGGAAAGATGAATAAACTTACTGACGTTTCGGACGCTAGTCCGTCGTCGGAGTAAAAGAGAAAGAAGTGGTAGAAAGGAGTGTATATATGATAGAATAAGACAAAAGAAACCAATAGACTCAAGGTAGGCAAGGGAACAAAAACAAACAATCAAAAGACAAAAGAAAAGGTTAGTTGAAAGCAAAGCGTTCATTAATCCCGTTGGGACTAAGAGTGCCCAATAGGTGAATAAGCCGCATTTCTTTGGTCTTGCGACAGTCATTGTTGGCAATCAGGAGAGAACCAACGAGCTAGCCCTACTCATGTATATATATGTTTATACCAAGTTTTGAGCAATCCAAGGTTATATTGGTAAGAGGTTCGAGCACCCTTAGCTAGTGCTTACGGCTATGTAAACTATGCTTGCCATAAACGTATTATTACGCGGTTAAGCATGAAGTATAAGGGAATAAAGAATAAGGGATTAAATAAATAAAATGCAGGCTGTTGAGCAAGGAATAAAGAATAAGGGATTAAATAGATATGCACGTGAAAATTGGGAATTACATCACCAGCTCTATAAAAGAAATGTTAATGTAAAAATAAAAGGAGCAGCAGTTAATACTTGAGGACTTCGTTGTTGGTTTTGGGCCCGACGCTAGATTTTTATAGGCAGAGTGACGGACGGTACATTTTTGGGAGCAGAGCAAGGTTTGAGATTCTGGAAGCGTCAGGTTCAGTATTAAGTGCTAGCTCATGGAAACAAGATCTAAGGCAAGGAATAGGGAAGAACTCTCCGAATCTGGAATGCATTCTGGTGTTGAGGAATACAAGGATTTGCCAGGACCGGCTGGAGATCAAAAGAACGAAGCCTTTGAAAGACGATTTACGGACATCTTGAAGGAGGTTAAACATTTTGTCGCAAATGCGGACGCCGAAAAGAACGAACTGGAGAGTCAAGTTAATAATCTTATTGTAATAATCGAGAGTCAAAAAATGCAAATACACCGTATGCAACAAGTAATGGATGAGAGATTGCAAGGATTAGAGAATCGCCTTAGTGCAATAGAAGACAAGAGATTGGATCATGTTAGTGAAACTGAAACAATGCTATTAACTTACATTGATAATAAAGTGAAAGAAGTAAAGGATTCAATTGACCTAATTCACTATGACGTCACTGCATGTTTATGTGGGGGATAGAATCGTCAAATACAATAGAAAATTCAACTATATTTGCTCCTAGCGAAACAGTTTAATCTAAAATGGCCTGGTTTTCAGATATAATATGTGTTAATGTGTACTAAAAATATTCTGAGCGTTTGCTGGCTATTCTATTTCTCTTCGTGGAATGATACGGGATTTAGAGCAATTTTCGGTTAGTTTGCGTTGATTTGACCCCCTCCGACGACCATGATCCTTTGCGTTTAAACAATAGATTGTTGAATATTTTTTTGATGTGACGTCACAGTGAAGTAGGGCAATTGTACGGGTTGAACTTATCGAAGATCGATGGAACAGAAAACTAGATGAAATTAAAGAAAACAATGGACTAGATTCGAAAGAAACCATTTCTACACCAGCCACCAATTTGGTAAGTATGAGCAGTCCTCATAAAGTTTCTAAACCTATACAATCACCGCCTACGTATGACGGGAGCCAACCTTGGGAAGCGTATAGCGCTCAGTTTGAAATTGCATCGCAAATAAATGGCTGGATAGTGGAAGAGAAAGCTAAATTTTTGGCAGCTAGTCTAAAAGGGAACGCCACACTGATTTTAAGTAACCTTTCTGATGAAAATAGAGGTGAATATGATTCACTTGTGAAGGCTTTATCTAATCGTTTTGGACCAAGTCACCAATTTGAATTAGCGAGAGCGAAATTTAAGACAAGAGTGAAAAAACGCGAAGAGACATTGCCTGAGTTGGCCGCGAACATAGAGAGACTAGTGAAACTCGCTTATCCAAAAGCTGAATCAGAGTTGCCAAAGACCAGTTTATAGATGCGCTTAATGACGAAGAAAGCAGAATACGCGTTAGGCAAGCCAGACCGAAGAATGTTCAAGGCGCGCTAGAAGTTGCGCTCGAATTAGAATCTTATCATCTAGCTGATCGTTGCAGTGGCGGATCCAGGATTTTTCAAAGGGGGGTTCCGTTTCTTAAACTGTGTATAATTCTCTTTTGTTTAGTCGATGTTTGACAAAAAAATTGGCTCTAATCACCTAATTTATTATCTAGTAACGGAACTTAAAGGCAAATTAAACATTATAACAGCAAATATTTATCATTTCGTGTTCAACATTATCCTTGAGGATACTTTTAAGCAAAATTTACATAAGACATATTTCTATTACCTAAAAGATCAAACCTTCAAGGGGGGTTCCGAAACCCCCCCCCCTGGACCCGCCACTGCGTTGGGGACATTATCATTCACGTGGAAACGCTCGTCAAGTGAGTGTTCAAGAAAAACCGGCAAAGGTTGAAGAAAAAAATGTAGAGTCCGAGATTACAAGATTGGGGACATTGATTGGACAAGTTCTAGAAGAAGTAAAGCAAAGAGGCCGGCAGAGAAGAGTTGATAGACAAAAGATGAGATGTTTCAATTGTCAAGAGACTGGACATTTTCAGTCTGTGTGCCCATTGCTACAACAAACTGCAAAACCAGTTCAAAGAGTACCATTTAGACAACGATGTTATTCTGAAAATGGACAAGGTATCAATCAGAGAGAGTTTCCAACACCACGACAAGGCACCACAGTCTTCCCACAGTCAAAACACGGCACCACAGGCTTCCCACAGTCACAACAAGACACCACAGGCTTCCCACAGTCACGACAAGGCACCACAGGCGTCCCACAGTCACAACACGGCACCACAGGCTTCCCACAGTCACAACAAGTTACCACAGGCTTCCCACAGCTACAACAAGATGCCGCAGGCTATCCAAGTGTACATCAACGCTTCCTTCAACCAAATCAGAATGTCACAGGGTTCCCGCAGCTACAGCCAGTTGCTTCACCGTACCTTCAGCAACGCCAACATATCGCAAGGTTCCAACGATCACAGGGAAACAATAACAGAGGTTGATCACAGGATCAGGGAAACTACCAAGGGCCGAGTTCACGGGGCTGAATTCGGTCATTCAAGAGAATACAAATGCCCTAGAAATTACAAGCTTTAATGGCGGAAGTGGACTCTTTATTCCGGGATTTATTGAGAAAACCGCATGCGGTCCCCTGATTGATTCTGGTGCAGACGTTTCACTTTCAAGCACAAAATTGATAGAAGAAATAAAGAAAAAGACCTACATTCAGCATGCATGATAGTGTAGAAGAAAAACTGAAAGTACTTCGTGGTGGAATTGTCAATGTACAGTCTAAATGCCAAACGACGTTACGAATCGGAGAAACTGAAAGCAAACATGAGTTTTGGGTGGTTCCTATGACTGCGCAATGCTTGTTGGGTGGAGATTTCTTGAAAAACCACAACTGTATAATTGACTATCAACGCATGGCATTGACAATTGATGATGCAGACGTTCCTATGGAGAGTTCTGAAAAATCAAGTTCACCTGAGGTACTACGAGTAGTGTTGGAGCAACCACTAAAACTGAGGCCTTATACAGAMGCAGTCGTCAGAGGACGAGTCATTGATACTGATAAGCAACATGGTTGGATGATCGTCAGGCCACAACAAGACTTTTGCGAAAGTGAAAGCGGAAGAGTTATGGTTGGTAGAACGCTAGTAGATTTAAAAGAAGGTTATGTGCCAGTAAGAATTTGTAACCTCTCACCAGGAAGAAAAAAATTGCGCAAGATGACAGAAATTGTCGTTTGTGAGCCGTGTGTTAGTGTATTTCAAGCTTCTCCCACGAAAAGCGTTCATTTACTTGCAGATGATGAACCAGATAAAGAAAGAAGGCAGAAAGTTCCAGAAAGGCTTCAAGATGTTTATGAACGAACTGCACAACATTTAGATAAAGAACAACAGTAAGTGTTGGAACAATTTCTCATTAAGGAACAAGACATGTTCTCAAAAGGACTAGAAGACCTTGGGCATACCAATCTGGTTAAACATAAGATTGACACGGGAGACACACTGCCCATCAAGCAGCACCCACGCCGTCTTCCCCTCTTTGCACGTCTATGGAATCAAATACCACCTTTCATTAGGAGTTTATCCAAAAAAAACTTCCAAAAGGAAATCAAAACCGTTTTATTAAACGATCTTAATATTAATCGCTATGATACTGAGATCTTCAAACTTTTTAAGTAAGTCTATCTGTAATGAGCTATTTTTCATTTTCTACTCAGTGAACTACTTTTCATTTCCTATTCAGCTCTTTGTACTCTGATATTAACATTTATTTATTATTAACATATAAAGACATCTTTGTAAATCTACGTGTATATTCTGTGAATTTAACCTGCCTAGACTAGCTTTAGCTATATGCAGGTTATATAGTTTTTCTTTTTTGTATTCTTTTATTCATCAATAAAGTTAAAGTTAAAAGCAGAGGAAGCATCACAGGCTGTTAATGAGATGTTAGAGAAGGGTGTGATTGAACCA